TGTGTCCCCATCCCTCTCCTCCCTTGGATCGCACACGCTCCTCATCGCCACGACACATCCTTCACAGCGCTGGTACTGATCGCAGAATGTCCCCAGACGAAGAGGTCCCCCCGCCCAGGCACTCTGTCGCTCGCCCTCCCACGGCGGGAGTAGAGACGGCAGCGGCGGCAACTTTCACAACAACCCTCTTGCTCCACCCGCCAGGCACTGTGGCCACTCTCTTTTGAGGTGAGGGAGGAAAACTTAGGATGGTGGCCATGACCTTACATACACTGAATGGGGCAGGGAACGAAGGTTTACGGGACACCATTGTGATTGTGGGCTCGACCTGTGCGCCTCAAGTGACCTTGTGAGATGGAGATATTGCCATTATCCATATTTCCCAGAAGGGAAGTTGAGACTCAGGTTACACGGCCTGGAACAGCCTGGATCAAGTCCTAAAAGACTTCTTCATCAGCAAGTGTCAGAGACTCAAATGAACTTTCAGGTTGGCTCATGTAATGTTAAAAATCCAGGTGTGGGGGTGCCTGGGTGGCTCAGTGGATCAAAGCCTCTGCCTTCAGCTCAGGTCATGATCCCGGGGTCCTGGGATCGAGCCCCGCATCGGGCTCTCTGCTCAGCGGGGAGCCTGCTTCCTCCTCTCTCTCTGCCTGCCTCTCTGCCTACTTGTGATCTCCGTCTGTCAAATAAATAAATAAAATCTTTAAAAAAAAAAAAAAATCCAGGTGTGATTCTTTCCCCGAGGCTGGGTCCAGGTGTTGGACTCTCTTTCCAACTCTGTTTTGATTCCCCTTTCTGGGAGGCCCTCTGCTCGGCTGGCAACGTGACCGCCACCACCACCCACAGCGAGTGTCCCTTTCTCTACAGTTCCAGCAAAGTCCGAAGCCTGCTTCTCACTGGTCTGAATGTGGTCACATTCTGGAACCACTCAGGGGCTGACTGTGGCATGGGCCCATCCCTGGAGAGACATGGAGGTCACGCCCACCCAAACTAAGGAGGGCAGAGCTGTCTGAAGACAGGAAAATGCCAGGTCACAAGGGAAGAAGTCAGGAGGGGTGCTGGGCTGGCCCTGACCTCCTTCTTCAAAGTCACGTGCCACCCAAACCAGGCCACCTCCTCAGTTGCCCAGTGTGTGTGGGGAGAGCAGAGAGGGGTGAGGGGAGCTGGGACAGTCACAGGGAGCCTCCTAGGACAGGTACATGGGAGGGGGGAGGGAGGAGGGCAGAGGACCCCAGGCCCAGCAAAGTGCTGGGAAAATGGGCAGACGAGGCCTGAGCAGCACTGAGCTGGGGACCCATGGCCCTATCCCCCTCCCCAGGGCTGGTGTACCACCAGGGCTGAGCGGGCGGTGCCAGTGGTCCCCAAAAGAGGTCCTTGCCCACTGGGTGACAGAACCCCTCAGAAGCAGCAAGAACCTTGGGATTTCTCAGGGGAATGTTAGAACTAGTATCAGTCAAAGGAGCGCCCCAGGTATCATAGTTAGGACACATCACACACAGGGTTTGTGCAAACGCAGGGATGACCTCTGGTGAGCGGGCTGGGCAGAATGGCTCCTGGCCTCACCCAGGACAAGCAGGGCTTTGCAGTTAGGCCCAGCTTCCCTCCCCAGCCCTGGGTTACCCTCCTTCTCCAGTTACTGGCAGTTCCAGAATCCTAGCGCATCCGCGTGCCCCACATATGGCCCTGTTTACTGAGCAACACGTGGCCGGAGGGACGTCTGGGCTCGGCCTCCTCCAGGTGCGCCACGCAGGCGCACAAGGCCTGGCCCGGCCTCAGTCCTATCACCTCCCATCCGCGGACAGACAACCCATGACCACCACCTCCTGTCTTCCCCTGGGGTTCATACAGTGACCCATGTAGCCTGCCCTTAAATCAATGGCTTAAATATGAAACCATCAGCTGTCCCTCCATAGGACGCAGCCCGTCAGCATCAGCGCCCACACAGTGTGGCCTTCTCAGTGAGAGCAACATCGCTCGGCAAGCAGAGGCAGCTTCCTGCTATGGCAAGAACACCGGGGGCCAAGGTGCATGAGGGGCCTGGTTCTGTCCTCCCAACACACACACACACACACACGTGCGCACACACGTGCCTGCCAGGATGATCCCAGAGACCTGATCCGTCAACCACCAGCCACGGGTGTCCGCGCCCCACCAGCCGGGTACCAGCTCTGTGAACAACTCCCTGTTCTCTGTGCTGCTGTGTCCCGCTCTGGAAAACAGGTCTAACTCCACACACCTGCTGCCCCTCACCTGTGGCTCCCATGCTCAACCCGCGTGAGGTCAGTTGTTGAATTTGCAGCCCTCGCCACGGAGCCTGGCTGACGGGAACCGCTCCGTGGGCCCTGCCCCGTGGGTTCTGAGCCGCCCAGCTGTGAACGCAGCTTCTCAGGAAGGAGGCAGCACCCGCCAGCGGCCCGGTGGGGCTCCCTGGGCTCAGCCGGCCTCTGGCTCCGGCCTCCCAGCAGGCACGCGCCTTCCCCACCCAGCCAGGGCCTCAGGTGATGGAGGGGGCGCTACCCAGTACCCTGGGTCCCCGTCCTCGGGACAGACTGGTGTTCACCTGTGTGCACGCCCCGGGAGGCTGCACTCCCATCGGGGCCCAGTCCGACGCTGCCGCTGGCCATCTGCTGGGGCGTGTTCTTAGCCTCTCCTTCCTCCACTTTCCCAACCTCACCCTGGCCCCAGCAGCTGCCACTTTCACAGGCCGGTTAGCTGAGAACTGAGAGTCGCCTACCTGGACGCTGCTGGCCATCCCGGTGCCTCGCAACGGGGACACAGGCGCAGGAGCAGTGCGAGGAGAGCCCTTCCCAGCCCCAGCCCTCTGTCTTATTAGCAGAGACGCGCTAATGAAAATTCACACCCCGGTGCTAACAAACACCGGGCCGCGGGCGGCTCCGAGAGGGAGGCGAGGCTCTCCGCAGGGGAGGGCGCTGGCCAATGAGCTCCACTTACCTGTGAAAAGACTTGCTAATAACTTTAATTCCCCATCCTAAACCGCAGGGCCTTTGCCATGCAAACAGATTTTCTAAATTGGCCAGGCCCCTGGAAAGGCCTTCCCACTCGGCTCCAGTTAGGGTCCTGGGAGGGGAGGTGTGGGAAAGGGGGTGGTCAGCGGAGGTGTGAGGTCTGCCCCCCTGCAGGGCCTCTGCTTTCGGATCCCACTCTCTGCGGCCAAATGCTGGCCAGGGTGCGCCCCGCCGCCTGAATGACACGGCCCTGCTGCCTGCCCGCCCGCTCTGAGTACCCCCCACCTTCCGGGCCCAGCCGAGCGCTGGAAAGGATCTCTGAGATGGTTTCAAAACAAACCTATCAGTATCCAAGGCTAAACAGCCCCGGGTGTGTCCATGCAGGGGACCATCCCTGGGCGGTAAGAAGTACCGATGCCTGAAACCACGTGGCTAAACCCTGAAAATGCTCTGACAGGGGAAAGAAGCCGGACACCGGGGGCTTCATGTTGTGCGGTTCCTCTCATGCAAAATGTCTGGAACAGGCAGATCGACAGAGGCGGGAAGGAACGGAGTGTGCTGGGGTGGGGGGATGGCGTAATGGGGGAGTGCCTGCTAATGGGCACAGAGTTTCTTTGGGGCATGGTGGAAATGTTCTCACTTTAGGGGTGCCTGGGCGGCTTAGTCGGTTAAGCGTCTGCCTTTGGGTCCTGGGAATCGAGCCCCGCATCTGGGTTCTCTGCTCAGAGGGGAGCCTGCTTCTTCCTCTCTCTCTGCCGCTCCCCCGTTTGTGCTCTCTTTCTCTCTCTTCAAATAAAATCTTAAAAAAAAAGTTCTCAATTCAGACAGTGGTGATGGGTGCATAACTCTATGAATACACTAAAACCACTGAATTATAAAGTTGAATTTGATGGTACATAAACTGTATATCAATAAATCATTTATAAAAAATAAATACAAAGGCCTGTATTTCAAAGATGCTTGAGGGAGAGGGGAGAACTCAGTACCCATCCACAGAGGGCCTTTGGGGGAGGCTACTTCCCCTGGCCCCACCCCACCCCCCACCTCACCAACATCTGACTGCTTCCTATACCCCTTGAGCAAGGCCAGGGTCAAGGCTTTCCTCTTCCCCATGCAGCACATCCCTGATCAGAATCCAGCAGTGTAGTCAGGAGTGTGGTTCCAGGTCAGCTGTGTGGCTCCAGAGGCAACCCCCATGAGTCTCTTCACCCCAGCTAGGCTGCCGGGAGGTCACAGTTACACGAACCCGGGACTGACTCACTGATGTTAGTTTATGTCCCTAAACCACCAGGGAGAGAAATCAGAGTGAAGGAGATGAGAAAAACCCCAAGGTCTAGGCCATGATGCTATAGCACAGGGGGAGAAAGGGCTTGGGACGCCTGACATGAACCCTTGGTAGCTGGTGTCCCCTCAGACCGCAGAGCTGGCAAAATCCTACTGGGGATGAGAACTCAAGATTCTGAATTCATATCAGGACTCGAGTGCCCATCCTTGGTTTATTCTTCTGTAAGATGGTGATTTGGGTATAAATTGTGTAAAGGACCTGATACACAGAAAGTACTAACAGCAACGTATTTTCTGCAGAGATCCTTGGTTTTACCCAACTCCCACCAGGTTCAAAGAAAAGATGGACAGACCCTCATATGCAGCAACTCCCCCTTCCAGGCTGAACTTGGGGAATGGGAGATGCTAAGCCAGGGCTGTGGGCAAGGAGGAAAGGGTCTGAGCCTGTGTGCTCTGAGGGCTGAAGTCGGCAAGAGACCCTCTTGATTCTTCCAGGTTCTTCTTTGGAGAGGGGGAGGGAGCTTTGTGCCCGTGTAGAGGAAGAAGAACAGGTCAATGGACACCAGCACGTTTATTCACAAATAAATAAATACATACTAGGCAGGCACCCCCTGCCGGCCTCCCAGGGTCTACCTATAGGTCCCTCCATTGAGGGACGGGTTGGGGAGGACCGTCCTGGGTGGGGACAGGCTCTCCCTCTCAGGAACGCGTATGCCAGTATCACAGGGGCCCCCTCCCAGGAAAGGGAGTCTGGAGAGCGGCCGTTTTGAACGTGCTGAGGCCAAGAAGGCCTCAATGCTCATAGACAGGGTGTCAGTTACAGGGCGTCACTTCAAAGATTCAGGCGGGCGGCCACTCCAGCGGCGAAAGGGGCATCCAGGTCTCCAGCAGGGCCAGCACGTCGCCAGGAAAGAGCTGCGGGGAGGGAACAGTTTTATCATCCGCGCTGGCTGCCCCGTGTGGGTGTCCGTGCCCAGGGGTTCCCCTCTCAGGGGACCTTTGGCGGGGAACAGGCCCCTGTTCCCGGCGTGTCCTCTCCCTCCCGTCCCCGCTTGAGCGCCCGGGGACACACCAGTTACACTACTCGGGACAGCACGCAGATCAGGCAGGCTGCCGGTGGGGGTGCCGCGGTGTGAGTGGCCCCGCAGGGGGAGCTGCGCGCCCGGCACGCGGACAGCAGGTAGTGCCGCCCACGACGGCGCCGGGAGGGAGTCCCGCGCAGGAAGAAGGTACTCACCGGGGACGAGGGGTCCAGCTCCATTGCCTGCGATTCCGGACACGCCGCCTGGTCGTAGAGCACCGGCGGGTCTCGAGGCTCAGGAGCCGCTAGTGCTGCGGGACAGGCGGGCGAGGACTCCCACGTCGCGGCGGAGCCCAGCACTGGGGCGCGCGCCGGCGCCTGCGCGGGGCCGCCGTCGGGGCAGAGCGGACAGCCCCGAGGGGTCGCCGCGTCGCTGCGCCGCCGCCGCCGCCGCCGCTGCAGGCTCTCCTCGCTGAGGCCCAGCACGGCCGACAGGTGGCCGATGTAGCGGATGGCCAGGCGCAGCGTCTCGATCTTGGTGAGGGTCTGGCCGGCGGGCGCGACAGACGGCGGCAGGAAGCGGCGCAGCTCGTGCAGGGCGCGGGCGAGGGTGCGCATGCGCAGCTTCTCGCGCTCGCTGGCGCTCTGCCGCTGCCCCGAGCCCAGGCGGCTGCCGCGGGCGCCGCGCCTCCCCGCGCTCCGGGCTCGGGGGGCCGCGTGGGCGCCGGGCTGCCCGGGGCTCGGCTCGGGGCTGCCGGCCGGGACGCTGCCCCAGGAGTCCGGGGACGAGGCCGGGGAGCACCCGCAGTCCCTGTCGGAGGGCGGCGGAGGCCGAGCGGGGCCCCATCCCGGGGAGAGGAACCAGGACTCGGAGAGCGGCGGGCATAGGGGCTGGGCCATGGCGGCGGTGGCGCGTCTGTGGGCCGGCGACCGGCGACCGCTTTATCCAGAGCCAGAGGTGTGAAGTGGCCCCTTCCAGGCCGCATCAGCACTTCAAAGCGGGCTCGGGGGCCTGGAGGGGGCGGGGCCTGGTCCTTTGAACCAACGGGGGTGCCAAGGTGCGGGCCGAGGGCTGCCCCAGCTTGGCCTCACCTGGGTCCTCGAATGGGCACCTGGCCCAGCCGCTCGGGCTCTTGCCTGCACCTAGTGGCCCGAGCTGCCTGGCATGTTGGGCCAGCTCAGGAGGTTAATGGAAGCGCGGTCAGGGAACTGGACGTATAGGACCTAGATCTGGGCTGCCTTCACCTGTTGGGACCTTATGCAGATTCTTAACGTTTTCTTGCAAATTTGTTCCCAGTTTGTACAATGGGGAGCCTTGGGGCATGCTGCAACCAGATCTGTAGAATCAGTAGGATGGGAACCCTGAATGGGGCCCTGATCCCTGCTAGAGGTGAGAGGAATAGTAACCCATTTCTGCTCCTGGTCATGGCCTTACCCAGTGGTGGTGGTGGTCGTGGGACGGAGGAGGCATTATGAGGAAACTATCCCACCCCAGTCCAACAAGCTAGCCAAATCTGGTCAAGTTGCCAGACTTTCGGAGCTGGAGGAGGGGAAGCCTGATGCCCTCCAGGACACCCTCAGCCTGGCAGGATCCAGCTTGGCCTGCTGCCACCAGCTGCCACCACTGGCCTCTAGCTGGTATTCCACCACTTTGGGGCAGGCAGAGAAGACTTTGCCACTGAAATGTGAGTGGACGTAACACAGAAAAAGCATTTAACAAAATCCATACCCCTTCATGATAAAAATTCTCAGCCAGCTAGCAACAGAGGGGAACTTTCTCAACCTGATAACAGGCATCTACAAAGAACCCAAGGCTAATATCGTACTCCACAGTGCAAGACCGAATGCTTTCCCGTAATGCTGAGAACAAGGCAGGGATGTCTGCTCCTACCTGGGGCTACTTAGCATTGTCCTGGAGGGCCTAGCTTATGCAATAACAAAAGAGAAATAAAAGGCATACAGACTGGAAAGGAAGAAATAAAACTGTTTCCATTTATAGACGATATGATTGTCTATGTAGGAAATCTCAGAGGACCTATGCTGCCTGCCTGACCCCTCAGGAGTTTGAGTCTGTCCCTTGTCATAATAGCTACTCTGTGCACGGATATCTGTCCTCTGCCTAGACCCTGAAGTACCTGGTGTCTAGCATCATGTCTTCAAGAGCCTTAGTCTTTCACATCTTTCAGTGTGAGAGAGCTAGTATTTCCCATCTCCATCTCCCATGGCTTCCAGCCCAGTGAGACTGATGGGTGAGCTGGTCTGTAGTAAAGGCAGCCAGGTGACTTGGTAACTTCCCTGTGGGTATCTCTGCTCACCACCATCCCTCCCCTCATTTCTTATCTTCTACTGCCCTTGGTCTCTTCTGCAGTCTGTCCCAGCAGCCCCAGAATTCTTGTGCCCGTGGTTACATCCAGGAGAGGCAATGCCAGCCCACCCTCGGAGAGAAGGGGAGGAACCCATTCCCTGGGCCGTGCTGTAGACCCATCTACTCCCAAGGAGAGCCTGCTCCAGGAGGGCCTTCCTCAGCGGGAAGCTGTCAGTGGGGTCTGGGCCTTTCGGACCCTTGTCAAGGGAGGCCTTCCTGGGGCTCCAGATCCAAGCCAAGAACCTGGCATTGCAGCCCAGCTGCTGGGCCCCTTCAATGTCATTGGGCCCAAGGGGACTAGCCGTTGGCAACAGGTAGAGCGTGTCATACACTAGGATGGGACGCGGTGCAGAGTAAAGTCAGGCAGGAGGGGTGGGATCCGTGAGGGCTCTGGGCACCTTGTGGCCAACCTTCTGAATGTCAAAAAATCCCTCCAATTCCCACAGGATTCGGATTTCCACTTTGCAGCTGATCATTGAGAAAACTCAGAAGGACCAAAAACGCCCAGGCAATCAGCCACCCTCTTGTTTCACTGTCGTCTCTTTGAGAATCCAATACGTGCCCATGGCTAGAAAGTCCAGAGCCCAACAAGCACGAGGGTCTAACGAAGTTCATTACTGTCCTGTCTCTGGGGCCTGCAGTTCCCGGTCCAAGGGAAACTGCCAGTGTTGGTGTGTCGCTGGAATGACTCTTTATTCAGCACAGAATCAACTAGACACGTTTTGGACAACAGGCCCTATGTGTGGGAGGTGGACTGTTTATCCTAAACACCGCTCTGGCTCCTGAGGATTCGCACACTGGGGACCTAAGATCTGACCTCCTTGGGCCCTTGCCTGGGAGGTACCAAGAGGCCTGGAGAAGGAAAGACACCGTGATGGAGCGCCTGTGACAGAAGAAGTTCTGCTGTCAGGCTCGGGGAGGGCTCAGAAGTCCCCCGGGCGAGCGTGGAGGCAAAGAGCCCCCAGAAAGGGCATGAGAGAGGTGCAGCAGATGGCAGGTCACCTCCGCCCCAACCTGGGGGGCCTCGGCCCCAGAGGCCGCCACCAGGGAGTCCCTCCCTCTCCTGCTGCCGCCCTGGGGTCGGGGTCCAAAGCCAGTGTGTGCAAGGGACATTGCCAGTGGGAACAATGCAGCCAAGGTCGGGCAGAGGCGGGACCCCCTCGCCAACCTGGAGCCTGGGCTCTACCTCCTCCTGCCAGTCGCCTTTTCCCTTTCCCCCAGGCCTCTCTCACCTTTGATCTCCTTATCAGCCAGCCTCTCCTGTGGGCTCATTTGGGAGCTGCCCCAGTTAATGAGTTCTCCGGGCAGCAGGGCCTGCAGGCCCTCCTGCCGGGGCGAGGCCTTCACACCTCAGGGGCCTGTGTTTTGACAAGTGCCGGAGCCAGTGGCTCCTGCTCCCCTGGCCCGAGCCTGCCTTCGCCTGCCAACGTGTAAGGCTGGGAAATGAGGCCTGGGGGCAGCCCCACTGAGCAGAGGTGAGAGTTCAGTTGGGGCCCTTGGCCGGGGTGGGGGCAGGCAGGACAGGGCGGCCTCCTCTGGGACCCAGGGTAGAGCACATCGGACTCTATACAAGGCCTGGGTCTCAGCCTTCCCGCTAAGAAGACTCAGCCGGCTCCTCGGGCCTAGGCCTGAGTCCTGGATGCGGCCCCCTCCCACCTCCCAGCCTCTGCGCTCTCATTTCCCGGCCAGCCCTTCTGACACAGGAGTGCTAATCAAAGGTGCTATGTCAATACTCCTCTTGTGGCCCCTAATCCCTGTCCCCGCCGGAGCCAGAGGCCCCAGGAGAGGGAAGCAGCTCTTAGCATCCACAGGGGCGTCTCCCAGGAGGCTCCTCACGGAGATGTCCCCGACACCGGGGTCTTCCCACCACACTCCAGCACCAGCCTGAGGGGGCGGGGCCTCGGGGGGGGGGGGGGGGTGCTGCTATTAACAAGCGGCCGCCTTGACACAGCCTAGGACACCCCCTCTGGAGTGTGGCCTGCCAGGCACCGCCTGTGTCCCGTGGGGAACTCACTCCCCATCCTCAGGCCCCAGCTTCTGCTCCTGAGCCACGGGGTAATGCCTGCCGTGTTGACATCATAAGGATCCAGTTGTCCTGCGTGGACTGGCCTTTGGCCACAGCCGTGGTCACGTTTGCTACCGTCACCTGGGCCTGGCACCACACCGGGCGTGGCTGGGTCACAGCTCTCCGTCCTGCGGTGATGTGGCTGTCACTGCCTCCCTCTGCAGATGAGGGAATGGAGGTGCGGAGAGGTGGGCCTGTGTCACATGGCAAACAGGGGCCGAGTTGGGACCCTTTTGCCTCGGCCTGGGTCAAAGCCTGTGTTCTGTCCTCCCCACCACCGGTCCTGTCTCCTCGGGAAGATGGGAGGGGCTCCTTTCCTCCCAAAGGCTGCCCCAAGAGGGAGGGTGCTGGTGTGGGGGAGACTCCCCCAGAATCCTCAAACACCCACAACATCTTGTCACAAGTCACAGGGACCCGTGGAGATAGAAGAAGGTTTCCATGCTCTCCCTGGACCTGTTCCACCAGAGCCCCTGGGGGGACGGAGCAGGAGAATATGGGTACAAAAAGTACAGTTGCCCCAGAATTATGAACCTCACCCCCTTCCGAGCAGCAGCACCCTATAGTGGCCACGTCCCAATCTAGAGAGTGGAAAAGGCACTGGGAGTGCCCAGCCCCCTAGCACAGATCCTAAGCCCCCATGGGTCCCAGATGGATGAGGCCGTGGTCCCCTCGGGTCCCAGAGCAGTCAGGGGGCTCAGCAGGAAGGCGCCCAACTTCTCTTCCACCTCCCTCCTTCCCCCACTAAGGCCTCCAAGGATCCCAGGGAGCCCCTTCCTACCAAGATCACCCCCTTTCCTCACAACTTTAGCTCCTGGAGCCTCCGAGTTGGCAAGCCATATGGAATGGATTATTCTGGACCCAAGGTAATCTGATTATCCTGGTCATGGGTCAGCTGGATGGGCAGCCAGTGGGAGTCACAGGAGGCAGAGGGGTGATGAGGAGGGAGGGGGTGGCAAGAAAGGAGAGAGATCTGGCAGATTCCAGGAAAGACTCCCGGGGAGATGCACAATCTCTGTGGTTCTGGGAGCGGGGCTGAGAACCTGGGGTACGCAGATCGCGCCGCTCTTCGGGGAGTCACACTTACACTCCTCTGCTTCACCTGGGTAAGTGGAGGAAGAGCTAAGCTTTATAGTGTAATGTGGGGAAACTAAGGCAGAAAGGGGTTAGGGAGCTGAACTAGCCCAGAGTGGAGATGCAGACGTGTGAATGGGGGCGAGGGGCGGGGCGCGGATCCTGTCACATGGCACCTTGGTTTCTCCAACTGTAAAAAGGAGTCTAGACCTGCCGACCTCCTGCTGAGATGTTCGGGGGGGCGGGGGGGGCTGTACGCCCTGCTTGGAAGGCTCCCATCTCTGGCCAGCGGGTTGACCCTGGGTCCACTGGAGTAGACCAGGTCTGCGAATTCCCAGCCATCACCAGCAGAGGGCACTGCCCAGCCACCCGGGGTCCGGGGATAAGAGCAGGGCACAC